GTCAATCGAGGTAGCTTGAACCATTCGTCAAAAGGGAGATGAACTTCGATCTGGTTTCTGTTATCCATTTCTGAGGCGCATCAAATATATTTATCTAGATGTAAAAGATTCGATACAATTGGGTTACAGCGTCAGCTGTGTATTAATTTGAACATTTCCAATCGAAAAGTGAGGACGTGTCGTTTCAATTAGTTAAAAGGTATGAATTCGAATCAATTTACCACATTTATTAACTCTATTACAAATAGTTAGATCTATAGCATGGGCGCGTTATGTGCCTGGAAAGCTGCATTACCATATAGCTGTGATGTGATTTGCAGACAGAGCAGGGGACAACGGGAAAGAGATTGGATGGAAAGACGAGAAAAGAAGATGATATATAGGGGCCCTTCCCGCACCCCAACATCGCCTCATTGGCAGTGTCCTCCTCAATGACAAGGATATGTGATCCTATTATTTCTTGTTAGTAGAATAGGTTAAGTTGTTTAATTTCTGCCTTTCAATTCAAAATCTAGGCTCCGTCTTTTGTCAAAGCATTAATCTATGCATTGCCACTCCATACCCATGCACACTCTTAAAAATAGGTGGTCAAAAAATGACCACGTCGTGGTCGTTTTTAACCACGTTTTGGTAGTCAACCATAATGCACCTTTAAAAACGACCACGACGTGGTCATTTTTTGACCACCTATTTTTAAGAGTGCAGGAGAGAAAATAATGGGGACCTGGTAGCCTTTGTTTGAGTAATTACCATATCATAATGCCCTAACGGGACTGATACTATAGTCACCCGGGAGTGGACATGGTGCAATTGTGTGTGAATGAATTCAATGATCGGGGTAATAGTCTGTAAAACGCCTAGAGACGGTAACTATTATTTTTATCATTAAACTAAAGGAGCTAGTAATTTTGTTTTGCTTTCAAAATTAAGGCCTAACATATTCATTTGTCACCGTAACCATATTACAAAAATGAGTCATTTATGATTGTAAACATTGTTATTGAGTATTCAGGGCGTGACCTTCTGTAATCCCCATTATTATAGAAAATTGGATTAAGGAATTAAGATTGGAGCAGATAATAATAAGTCGTACTTTGAATTCATGTGCCAAAATTCAGAGTATAGGGATTAAATATGCAGAGTATAGGGATTAAATATGACCCACAAAGCCAATGTATTTTACTTGATTGTGATGTTTCCTCCCGTATTCTGCTAAAATACAGGTTTGCCAGTAGGGGAGGGGAAGGAGTACGAGAAGAAAAATGGCTCGATTTTCCAGCAGAAATTATTTTCAGCGGCAATATCTTCGTTAATATTATTGCACTCCAATGCTCAGGAGAGGGGGGGGGGGGGGCTCCATAAATAAAAAGCTTATGCTCATTGTACTGGTTATTTTCTCAATGGGGCAGCCGTTTCGACCTCCATGGTTCCTACATGCACTGCAGTTTTTCATGACTTCATGGAAATTTGTATTAAAGCCTCCGCAAGATCATAACGACTTACAGGATCAAGTAGTTTCTTCTTTTGTTTGCAAGAACCGACAGAATCCGCAAGATAATGAAAACAAATTGAAACGGGTATACAATATTCCTTCTTGATTTTATTAACTTCTCTGAATTACTTCAAGATTTGATATCTCGAGTAGAGTACAAAGGTGATAGTAAGCACTACAAAAAGGGGGGGGGGTCCCCCTCAACCACGCACCCCTTGAGAAAAAAAAAGAAAGAGGATTCGGGGGTGGCCTCTAACGACATTCCCCCTTTTGACTAAGAAAATGGGGGAAAATAGGAAGAAATAGGGAAAAATAGGAAGAAATAGGGAAAAATAGAGAAAATGAGGGGAAATTGGGAAAATAGGGACAACATCGGGAAGAAAAAAAAAATGGTTATTGAGAGGGAAACCGATTTAAATCGGGTAATTATCAGGCCTGAGAATCAGAATTATGGTAGTCAGCCTACCAATGGGGGTCTTGAATGAAGGCCAAGACGAGCAAACATGAGCTTTATCTTACAAGTTTGCATAGCAGGTATTGTTATTTGCTCTATCTGCGTTTCAACCAACGGACGAACGCCAAGTTTACTCCATACATCCAATAAAAGATAGCCGCGATGATGATGAATGAATTACAAAGGCCAGAGTTCACCTAAAACGACTGCGAATTCCATAAATGAAGATGATAGTGGAAATTATTTTATCGAGCAGAGGCGTTGCAAGAAAAGGAGTGAGGAAGTAATACTTCTTTTAAACGTACTATGTCCCATTTGCAGGCCAACAAAAAATGAAAAGTTAAATTCCGACAGCTTTGAAAGACGTTACTTCTTTAGAACTTCCCTCAAAACGAAAGGTCTTAAAAATGGTTTTTAGTGGGAAAATAATGACAATTAGTTGTCGAATCGACTTAAGTGATTGCAATCACCTATGTAATATTCTAATTTTCAGACCCTTTTACTGTATGGTCGTACATTTTGTGCTGCACAAGGATTCAATCAGTTTAATTTTGGCCATTAAAAGTAGTGTGTTATTGATATATACAAATGCTCATGTACCCGTTACGGGCCATTTTAAGTATGTTGTTACAAAAGAAAAAAAGATGTCAGTCAGTCACCCAATAGTGTCTGACAGGGAAGTCTAGAAAGTAAACGGGTTTCCTTGTATAATTTGAATACTAGAACACTGCTAACGTTTAAATTTCACAGATAGGACATGTATGACATATTCATAATTCCAGCAAAGTTCTACAGAATTTGATGTTGGCTGCAAAAGGGACATAGTATCTTTAAACAATCCTGTCGGCAAACTCATTTTTTGAAACAGGCTGTTGGAAAATCACACAAATTATGTGTTTTGGATGTAATTTGGGAACATTCTGTCGGCTCATAACCGCCCCTGCTTGCTTTTGGAAAATGTTGGGATCATGGCTGTGTTTATGATATAATATAATGTGTCAATTATGTCCCTTTGTTTAAATTAATTAAAGGGTAATCCAACCATTGTCATAAGTTCATTCGTATGAAACAAGAAAAAAACAAAAGATGCAGAGTGGCGAAAGTTTTAAATAAGATTTGAATAGAGAGTCATGATATTTTGAAATATGAGATCTCTAGTCTTTATAGCTTTGCGAAGATCAAAATGGCAATTTTGTCCCGATTGTCGAGTACAAAAATATCGTGAATTTCTATTTTCTTCCCATTGAATTCTTTACAGAAGTGCATTCGTCGATAAAATCATATGCATTTTCTTTAATCTGCCATTAAAGTACATATTTGCATCAAATATTCTGTTAATATGTGAAGTGATATGTATATAAATATATGATCAACGTGTTGATGAAAACTCTCATTTTATTTTCTAGGAAATCACCAATCTACACTGTTTAATTTGATGAAGAAGGGGGGAGAAAATTTGGGGCTGCCCCTTGCAAATCGTTTTTCTTTTTCTTGTGCCTTCTAACAAGGGGGTTGTATGCTGGCTTCCATAAGAGACTGAATACACCACTGTGTAAAATTTCAACACATTCATAATTCATAAATCTACTTAGAGCAAATCTACAAATACCACGTCCAAGAATAGGCCTATTATAGGGCCTCAAGTTATTCAAAGAGAAATGTGCCTTTCTTAATAGACTAGGAATTAATGACTTAAAAGAAGATTACTGGTAGCTTGTAAGTATGAGTTTGTGAAATGAGTTTTCAACAAGAAATAAACTGTTAGGTAATTAATGAACAATTCACATCCATAACACTGTGAAAACGACAATACAAAATATCTGACACAAGAGTTGTGCATCCATTCAGCTTTTATTGACTCGGATATCCTAAGAAAATGATTGCAAACAATGTAAGTCATACTCAACCTTACAGGTATATAATAAGCTCTATGTACGCAACCAATAAATGTGGGGCAGACAAATGTCATTAGTACACACTTGTTAGAACATTTCTGCTCGTTTTCTTCAGAACAAAGCAAGGACAATTACGGTACATACGATGTCTAAGCACCAGGTAAATGAAATTATTCTTTAGAAAGAATAAATAAATAACTTTTGATCTTTTGTTTAAAAGGAATCCATTTCCTTTTTTATCATATTTCTTTTGGGATAAGTTTTCCAGACATAGCAATACCCTACCATTCGATGTCGGTAAACACTAGATTCTTAAAAAGGCACTGTTTTAAAAGCATAAACAAGTTATAAGAAACAAATTCTTTTTAGTAAATGTATAACTGTCTGACATGCACATATGTAAATCGTACCACAAAAGCATGCACACTTGCATGTCATTTCTTTGTTCATCATGCTTGGAAAATATATGTTTAAAAGTTTAATCACGTTATTGTTTTAGTCAAGAACAAGCTATGCAAAAGGGGTTGGGAAGGATATACATGTTTCACACATCAAACATGATAAAATAAATTCCTGTAGATCTATGAAAGTATTTCTTGAAATGATACACTCTTTAAAGCTTACATACTATGGGTTGCTGACTGGTAGCAATTTCAATAGGGTTTTGACTTTTGAATGTTTGTTTTCTTAAGTCTTGAAGTTAACTGAATATGCAATTTCATAATTAGGTATGAGAGAGAGAGCAAACAAAAAAGATATCACAAAGAAATACGACGAGACAAAATCATGCAAATTTGGAAGAGGATACAAAGGCCTTCCACTTGGCCGCTTTCATACACTAAACAACGATAAATTAGCTTTAAACCACAGTAGTAGATGCAAGTTTATATACACAAAAAAATGAGTTCTCTTGAGAGCCGAGATCAAAGGAGTTTACTATGTACAACAGTAAAGAAAAAAAGATAACTATCTGGCTCTAATTTGAAATACAACATGGACAAGAGTACATGGATGCACAAGAGTGTTTTATTTAGGAAAAAATACAAGTGCATGTACATATACATATCGGGTTACTATTTGAATGCATTTACATGTACATGCCGATGTGAAATTAACCTACCACAAAAATTATACATTGTCCATGAAAAGTAAGAACAAA